ATCAGCACCTCAGTGACATCACCCTTGCTGCGTAAGGGGAAGACTGCGGTGTAACGCGAGTAGTCGTCAACAACGAGCAGGAACTAACGCTCGAGACCCTGTCCACGGACGCGAGCTGGGCCCCACACGTCCATGTGAAGCGTCTGCAACGGGGCCTCTGTCGGAGGAAACTGGGAGGAGTGAGGGGCAGCACGCTGGCGCCCCTCAACACAGGGGACACAGGTAGGGCCAGGGCCCTGAGGAAGGGGAGGGAGGGACCGGGGGAGACCGGAAACAAGAAGACGAGAGGCCATGCCTCTGAGCCGAAGCAGAGAGGGGTGACCAAGGCGGTGGTGCCAGAGGAGAGTCTCGTGAGACAAGAGACGACACGAACAGGGGGCAGACTCAGGATCAGACCTTGACGCTGCAGCAAACACCTGACCCGACGCAGCTACCCTACCAAGCTCAGCAACTGGAGGAGACGCAGTGGTCAGTGTGTACAGGCTCGACCCCGGCTGACGAGTAAACGTGGCCAGGTGTCGGCCTGTTCGAGCGTCTGTGCAGTGGGTCACCCGCTGACTCGCAGGAGTGAACTGGTGAACCCCCGCATCCTGCAAGTCAGCACCACTCACCAAGTTTGTAGAGAACGAGGGGAGGTAAAGACCAGACAGGGTGCCAGAGGGGGCCGCCGGACACGGGAGGACAGTGGAGAAGTGAGCAAGGACAGGGCCCCCAGAGGGGTCTGCCAGAGAGACTGCAACTGGCCGACCAAGCGGCGTGAGTGTGGTGCGGTCTCGAAAGAAGGAGCGGGAAGCCCCCGAGTCATGGGTGAAGGTGTGAGAGGCCGGAGCCGACGCGGTACCTGAGAGAGCAGACTCACCTGCACCTGAGGAAGCAGACTCACTAGCACCTAGAGCAGCAGCCGCACCTGTACCTGGAGCAGGAGACACACTAGCACCCAGAGCAGCAGCCGCACCAGCAGCTAGAGCAACAGGCTCTTTACCCGGGTCAAGCGGTACGCACAGGTGACCGGCACGGTCAGCACTAGTAGGCAATGCATACATGGCAGTGAGAATAGCATCATAGTCAAAAGCAAATATGTCTTCCCTCTTCCTAAGCAACTCCACCCAGTCGGGGAGCTCAGCCTCGTCGCCAAACTCGGTACGCCAGGCGTCGCTCAGACGGGCGAAGCAGCGGGACGGTGTGTGACTAGTCGTCCCACAAGGCTGACCAGTCCGAGCACCAGTGCGAATCACGTAAGAGCAGCGAACAGAACTGAGAGACCCTCTACTCTGAGCGTACCACTCACGAAGCTGCTGGGGCGTGAGAGATGCGCGTGGGCGTTGCTAGAGCTGCATCTGGCCGCCGCCAGTAGTAGTAGCAGTAGTAGCGGCGCCACCCCTACAACCCCAACCAGCGTACCACTCACGCAGCTGCTGGGGCGTGAGGGACTTACGCTGACGTCGCTGGGGCTGCATCTGGCTCCGCCAGTAGAAGCAGGAGCAGGAGTAGCAGCAGTAAGGCAGGCAGCCAAGCAAGCGGCAGGCAGTGCGCTAGTAAGGCAGGGGCTCACCAGTGGTGGGAAGAGCAGGCTCGACGACTCGGCGGCACGGCGGCACTGCAGCAACTGCGGCTCGGCGGCTCGGGCGACTTGGGCGGCTCGGCGGCTCGGGCGACTCGGGCGGCTCGGCGGCTCGGCGGCTCGGCGGTACGGCGGCTTGGCAGCAACTGCAGCTCGGCGACCCGGTGGCTCATGCGGCTGAGGTGGCGCTGCGGCTCGGGCGGCTCAGGCGGTTCTGGTGGCTCGGCACTAGCTCGGCGGCGCCGGCGGCTTGGTGGTGACGGCGGGGCCGCTTGGGGACGGCGGCGGGGCCGGGTGGAGCGGCGACAAGGCCAGCAGAGGCGGCGCCGGGGCCGTAGGGTAGGCGACCGGGCCAGCAGAGGCGGCGTCGGGGCCGGGAAGGGCGGCGCCGGGGCCGGGAAGGGCGACGTCGGGGCCGGCAGAGGTGGCGCCGGGGCCGGGAAGGGCAGTGCTAGGGCCGCAGGGGTAGGCGACGGGGCCAGCAGAGGCGGGGCCGGGTCGGGAAGAGCGGCGTTGGGGTCGCCGGGGTAGGCGACGGGGCCAGCCGAGGTGGCGCCGGGGCCGGGAAGGGCGGAGCCGGGGCCAGGTAGGGCGGCGCTAAGGCCGTAGGGGCAGGTGACGGGGCCACTAGGGCGGCGGATCGGGGCCGCGAGTGCGGAGTGACGCGGCCGCTAGGGCGGCGCGACGGGGTAGCGGGGCCGCGCGCCTCGGGGCGCGCGCCAGAAAGAAAATCGCCGCGCGCCAACGGCGAGATGAGAATAGGTCGCACGCCGTGGGGCGTGTGACAGATCGAGTAGCAGCGGAAGCAGTAGTAGGGCCTTAGGAGCAGTTCCCACGAGGGAACCTGCTCTATACCATGAGAAAACTGAAACGTGAATGAATGAACTATGAATGAAGTGGGTACAAGTACTAACCCTATTTGGGTTGTACCCCCTATGGGATACCCCACTACAGCCTACACAAAAGTATAAGCTATAATGTTCTGACAGCATCATGCGATTTTCGCATAACAGGTCGCATTGTACATTACGATATTTCGCGCGACACCGTCGTTGGTGCAGAGCGCCAAGATGATTCATCCACAGTCGCACTCCCAACCCTTGCGACCTGGACAACACTGTGTGTGGGGACAAACACCACCTGCTTGCTCACCTTCTTCCAAAGACCCATCCTCCAAAGGCCCTGACTGCAGTAAAAGTTGTGATTGTTAACGTTACGCTGCACTTAGTTTCCTTCAACAGCCATAATTACCGCCCGTTTCAGAGTTCATTGGCATCGTAATGGCGCCAGTTAGATCACCCGATCTGCCTCTGGTGCCTAGCGATTAGATACAACGAGACGGTGTTTCCATGGCTTGGCCAGCTAAAGAACAGTTTTGTATCCGAATGCTTTTTAAATTTATAGATGCAACTACACATATTCCAGAGCGCTCTTCAAGCCTACGTGCAGACCTTTCGTGGGGCGCCTATTCTCAGCTTAGTGATTGTGTGGAGCTTGTTGGACTTAGAATTTATCTTAAACTCCTGGCTTAGTTAGTTTCCAGGTCTATATCAATTCTCAGATTGAACCTGTGCTTCATTGAGCTGCAGTTTTGCCTGCAACGAGAGGCAAGAGAGCTGGTGGCGTTAGCGGTGACATTAGCATCCGAATCTGGAGATTTCATAGGAGGCCTGAAAGGCCTGCATTGAGGGTTCTCAGCTCTACTATATAGTTGGTTTCCATGGCGGCGGACGTAGATATTGTAAGGCATCATGCTGTTCGTGTGCTGTAATAGGTCGTTCACAAGTGGGAGAGCATATGAGAACCATAGAAAGGCTTGCAGAAAACGACCACGTGAGCAGGAGGAGGTGGAAGATTTGATCGCACATATAAGACGTAGACAGGCGGATCAGAGCGAGCATAACTCAGGCTCAGCAACAGCACTGCCAGTAGACACGGTGAGGACAGATGTAGCACCCAGGAGCACTCAGTCAAAGCAAGCAGATGAGATCTTAGAGTTGCCACGGTATGAATTTCCATCTGAGTTACCAGCAGGTGTACCGACGTTTGATATTGACAAAGCGTTTTTGAAGGTCGTCCACAGTTGCAATGGTGGCATGGGTTTGTCTGCTACGGACACCAACAACATTTTAGCACCGTTTTGCAGGCCTACAGCGGAGAGGCCCAGCTATACAAACAGAGCAGGCATGGATAAGTATGCCAAGTCATTGCTTGTGCAAATGACAGGAATAGAGGAGTGGGAGACGGTAGATGTTAGTCACAACAGTAACCACGTCGCTATACTCTATCTAACATCACTCTCCAAGGCAGTAGTGTCGCTATTTTTGGAGCGTAAGAATCATGAGGGATTTGTCCTGTGGGCGAAACCAATTTACACAGCGGACGGAAAGCAGCGTATTTACGCGGGACTAGAGACTGGGAACATGTGGATTGAAACACAAGCGATACTGCCTAGAGGTGCTATACTGGTGCCCGTGATACTATACAGCGATGCGACTAACCTCAGTACTGACGGACGAGTAGTTGGGCATCCGGTGTACATGACGCTAGGTAACATTACAGTCAAGAACAGATGGCAGCCGCATGGCCATATCATGATTGCCATGCTGCCACCCTTGACTGGCGTGGATGCAAAAACCGAAGCGACGAAGGAGACGCGCCGCGTGGTGTTTCAAAAAGCCATGGATCGCATCATGCAAGACTTCCGAGAGGCTTCTAAAAGGTTGGTAATTTGTACATTTGATCCATTTGCCACCTACTCTTTCCAAAGCAGTAGATTTTCATCCCGTGGCAAAATCAGATGTAATGTCATGCGTGTTCCTCTGTTTTTAATCCCTCACCTGCCTACACACTCCAAGAACGTGTTTAGAACGAACAACAACACTCTCTGTCTCATGACCTCCCTTATACTGTACCTATGCTTTCGTTTTACCATCACACACACATTCATGACAAGCCTACCCATCCCACATCCCACCCCTTTCAGTCAACCCCCTCTCCATCACATTCTATCTTGCTTATCACACACATTACACTATACACAAGAACATCATGCAGATAACTCATTAGTCCATCAGACACATGCCTTCCCCCTTCTCTCGCATGCTGAATCCGTACACCTTTTCCCTGCCCCACCCCTCGCATTGTTTGGTACTCCACAAACAGTGGGATCATCATGCGTGACCCATTCGGTGAACGTCATGAGGTCTACCTAGCCTTATATGCCTACATTGCAGACCAACCGGAGGCATGTAAGGTGGCAGGCACTTTTGCAAGCCACCAAGCGCAATATCCGTGTCACAGGTGTCTAGTGCGAAGAGAGGACATAAGCAACATGGAGATTTCATCCGAGTACCGAACGGAGGCGGGTCAGGCGGAGAAGGTCGAAGAGTTACTTGCAATACCGACACTTACTGCGCGGAATGATGCCGCAAAAGCCATGAGCATCCACCCAGTCAAGGTGAGGGAGGGAGACAAGATGACAGAGATGGGAGTGAGGAGGGATGAGAGAGAGGAAGAAGGTAGGATAGAGTTGAGAGTGAGGAGGGATGAGAGGGAGGAAGAAGGGAGGATATAGATGGGAGTGAGGAGGGATTTACAAGGAGGAAGATGTGAGGACAGAGATGGGAGTGAGGAGGGATGAGAAGGAGGAAGAAGCGAGGACATAGATGGGAGTGAGGAGGGATGAGAGTGAGGAAGAAGGTAGGACGAGGACTGGAGAGAGAATGGATCAGAGGGAAGAAGGAAGGAGAGGGATGGGAGTGAAGAGGGAAGAGAGGGAGGAAGATTTGAGGAGAGAGATGGCAGTGAGGAGGGAAGAGAAGACGGAAGAAGGGAGGACAGAGATGGAAGTGAGGAGGGAAGCGAGGGAGGAAGAAGGGAGGAGAGAGATGGGAGTGAGGAGGGAAGAGAGGGAGGAAGATTGGTGGAGAGAGATGGGAGTGAGGAGGGAAGAGAAGAAGGAAGAAGGGAGGACAGAGATGGGAGTGAGGAGGGATGAGAGGGAGGGAGATGGGAGGACAGAGATTTACAGCATCTCTTCACTGTCACCCATGTCCTACTCAACCCCTATCCCTTTCAGTTTCCAGGCCAGATCCCCTCTTCTTATATACCTTTCGCAACCCATCACTTTCCCCTCCTTTTGTTCCTCAACAGGCAGCAATATGGGGGTTGGCCTTGGGCGGAACGGATGTCGGCAACCCGTACAGGGCACTTCTTATCGAGATCATGCATGCTCTTGATCTTGGCATCTTCATGCATATCATCTCCTGCATCAGAGCCATGCTAAAAAAGAGGAAGGAAACACACGTGCTGAGAGAGCTAGATTTGGTCCTGCAAACAATAGCACGTGATACTCGAATCAGTGGTTTCCGGCTACCGGGTGGAGAGAAGGGTGGTTACTTTGCAGGTGCTGCAAAGTTTCAGGCGTTTGAACACCGTGCCATCATGCAAGTGTGCACGATTGTCCTTGCCGGGCGTGTAGATAAAAAAATTGTGGATGTTGTAGCTGCATTTGTCGACCTCTACATGCTGGCCTCCAGGAGGTGGTACCATACGGATAACACCCTCCAAGAACTTGACCAGGCAATCAAAAGGTACTCCGAGTTTCTGCCCTGCCTTCTCTCCCAATTGGTTTCTGTTCTCATTCCACTCCGTGCCCACACCTTCCATCCATTTCTGCAATTCCTATCTCTCCCATATCGGTCTTACCTTTCTTTCTCTCTATTATCACATCTCAATCTAATCCCTACCTTGTTCAATCTGATCTCTTCTAAAATCGGAACCTGTCACTATATCTATCTCACCACTTTTCAACCCCATCTGTTTCCTAGATTGTGCCTTGTCTCTGTCCCTCCTTCATCCTCCCTCTCATCCCTCCACTCCCATCTCTCTCCTCTCTTCTTCCTCTCTCTCATCCCTCCACTCCCATCTCTGTCCTCCCCTTTTCCTCTCTCTCATCCCTCCAATCCCATCTCTGTCCTCCCTTCTTCCTCTCTCTCATCCCTCCACTCCCATCTCTGTCCTCCCTTCTTCCTCTCTCTCATCCCTCCACTCCCATCTCTGTCCTCTCTGTCCTCGCACCCATCCCTGCCCTGCCTTTGTCCTCCCTCTCAACCCTTCTCACTCCCATCTCTCTCCTCCCTTCTTCCTCTCTCTCATCCCTCCACTCCCATCTCTGTCCTCCCCTTTTCCTCTCTCTCATCCCTCCACTCCCATCTCTCTCCTCCCTTCTTCCTCTCTCTCATCCCTCCACTCCCATCTCTGTCCTCCCTTCTTCCTCTCTCTCATCCCTCCACTCCCATCTCTCTCCTCCCTTCTTCCTCTCTCTCATCCCTCCACTCCCATCTCTCTCCTCCCTTCTTCCTCTCTCTCATCCCTCCACTCCCATCTCTCTCCTCCCTTCTTCCTCTCTCTCATCCCTCCACTCCCATCTCTGTCCTCCCTTGTTCCTCTCTCTCATCCCTCCACTCCCATCTCTGTCCTCCCTTCTTCCTCTCTCTCATCCCTCCACTCCCATCTCTGTCCTCCCTTCTTCCTCTCTCTCATCCCTCCACTCCCATCTCTGTCCTCTCTGTCCTCGCACCCATCCCTGCCCTGCCTTTGTCCTCCCTTTCAACCCTTCTCACTCCCATCTCTCTCCTCCCTTCTTCCTCTCTCTCATCCCTCCACTCACATCTCTGTCCTCCCCCTTTCCTCTCTCTCATCCCTCCAATCCCATCTCTGTCCTCCCTTCTTCCTCTCTCTCATCCCTCCACTCCCATCTCTCTCCTCCCTTCTTCCTCTCTCTCATCCCTCCACTCCCATCTCTCTCCTCCCTTCTTCCTCTCTCTCATCCCTCCACTCCCATCTCTGTCCTCCCTTCTTCCTCTCTCTCATCCCTCCACTCCCATCTCTGTCCTCCCTTCTTCCTCTCTCTCATCCCTCCACTCCCATCTCTGTCCTCCCTGTCCTCGCACCCATCCCTGCCCTGCCTTTGTCCTCCCTCTCAACCCTTCTCACTCCCATCTCTCTCTCTCTCATCCCTCCACTCCCATCTCTGTCCTCCCTTCTTCCTCTCTCTCATCCCTCCAATCCCATATCTGTCTTCCCTTCTTCCTCTCTCTCATCCCTCTACTCCCATCTCTGTCCTCCCTTCTTCCTCTCTCTCATCCCTCCACTCCCATCTCTCTCCTCCCTTCTTCCTCTCTCTCATCCCTCCACTCCCGTCTCTGTCCTCCCTTCTTCCTCTCTCTCATCCCTCCACTCCCATCTCTGTCCTCCCTTCTTCCTCTCTCTCATCCCTCCACTCCCATCTCTCTCCTCCCTTCTTCCTCTCTCTCATCCCTCCACTCCCATCTCTGTCCTCCCTTCTTCCTCTCTCTCATCCCTCCACTCCCATCTCTCTCCTCCCTTCTTCCTCTCTCTCATCCCTCCACTCCCATCTCTGTCCTCCCTTCTTCCTCTCTCACATCCCTCCACTCCCATCTCTCTCCTCCCTTCTTCCTCTCTCTCATCCCTCCACTCCCATCTCTGTCCTCCCTTCTTCCTCTCTCTCATCCCTCCACTCCCATCTCTGTCCTCCCTTCTTCCTCTCTCTCATCCCTCCACTCCCATCTCTGTCCTCTCTGTCCTCGCACCCATCCCTGCCCTGCCTTTGTCCTCCCTCTCAACCCTTCTCACTCCCATCTCTCTCCTCCCTTCTTCCTCTCTCTCATCCCTCCACTCCCATCTCTGTCCTCCCTTCTTCCTCTCTCTCATCCCTCCAATCCCATCTCTGTCTTCCCTTCTTCCTCTCTCTCATCCCTCCACTCCCATCTCTGTCCTCCCTTCTTCCTCTCTCTCATCCCTCCACTCCCATCTCTCTCCTCCCTTCTTCCTCTCTCTCATCCCTCCACTCCCGTCTCTGTCCTCCCTTCTTCCTCTCTCTCATCCCTCCACTCCCATCTCTGTCCTCCCTTCTTCCTCTCTCTCATCCCTCCACTCCCATCTCTCTCCTCCCTTCTTCCTCTCTCTCATCCCTCCACTCCCATCTCTGTTCTCCCTTCTTCCTCTCTCTCATCCCTCCACTCCCATCTCTCTCCTCCCTTCTTCCTCTCTCTCATCCCTCCACTCCCATCTCTCTCCTCCCTTCTTCCTCTCTCTCATCCCTCCACTCCCATCTCTGTCCTCCCTTCTTCCTCTCTCTCATCCCTCCACTCCCATCTCTCTCCTCCCTTCTTCCTCTCTCTCATCCCTCCACTCCCATCTCTCTCCTCCCTTCTTCCTCTCTCTCATCCCTCCACTCCCATCTCTCTCCTCCCTTCTTCCTCTCTCTCATCCCTCCACTCCCATCTCTGTCCTCCCTTCTTCCTCTCTCTCATCCCTCCACTCCCATCTCTCTCCTCCCTTCTTCCTCTCTCTCATCCCTCCACTCCCATCTCTGTCCTCCCTTCTTCCTCTCTCTCATCCCTCCACTCCCATCTCTGTCCTCTCTGTCCTCGCACCCATCCCTGCCCTGCCTTTGTCCTCCCTCTCAACCCTTTTCACTCCCATCTCTCTCCTCCCTTCTTCCTCTCTCTCATCCCTCCACTCCCATCTCTGTCCTCCCCTTTTCCTCTCTCTCATCCCTCCAATCCCATCTCTGTCCTCCCTTCTTCCTCTCTCTCATCCCTCCACTCCCATCTCTCTCCTCCCTTCTTCCTCTCTCTCATCCCTCCACTCCCATCTCTCTCCTCCCTTCTTCCTCTCTCTCATCCCTCCACTCCCATCTCTGTCCTCCCTTCTTCCTCTCTCTCATCCCTCCACTCCCATCTCTGTCCTCCCTTCTTCCTCTCTCTCATCCCTCCACTCCCATCTCTGTCCTCTCTGTCCTCGCACCCATCCCTGCCCTGCCTTTGTCCTCCCTCTCAACCCTTCTCACTCCCATCTCTCTCCTCCCTTCTTCCTCTCTCTCATCCCTCCACTCCCATCTCTGTCCTCCCTTCTTCCTCTCTCTCATCCCTCCAATCCCATCTCTGTCTTCCCTTCTTCCTCTCTCTCATCCCTCCACTCCCATCTCTGTCCTCCCTTCTTCCTCTCTCTCATCCCTCCACTCTCATCTCTCTCCTCCCTTCTTCCTCTCTCTCATCCCTCCACTCCCGTCTCTGTCCTCCCTTCTTCCTCTCTCTCATCCCTCCACTCCCATCTCTGTCCTCCCTTCTTCCTCTCTCTCATCCCTCCACTCCCATCTCTCTCCTCCCTTCTTCCTCTCTCTCATCCCTCCACTCCCATCTCTGTCCTCCCTTCTTCCTCTCTCTCATCCCTCCACTCCCATCTCTCTCCTCCCTTCTTCCTCTCTCTCATCCCTCCACTCCCATCTCTGTCCTCCCTTCTTCCTCTCTCTCATCCCTCCACTCCCATCTCTCTCCTCCCTTCTTCCTCTCTCTCATCCCTCCACTCCCATCTCTGTCCTCCCTTCTTCCTCTCTCTCATCCCTCCACTCCCATCTCTGTCCTCCCTTCTTCCTCTCTCTCATCCCTCCATTCCCATCTCTGTCCTCCCTTCTTCCTCTCTCTCATCCCTCCACTCCCATCTCTGTCCTCTCTGTCCTTGCACCCATCCCTGCCCTCCCTTTGTCCTCCCTCTCAACCCTTCTCACTCCCATCTCTCTCCTCCCTTTCTCCTCCCTCTCGTCTCTTGTCAGATTGATTCCAATGTTGAAGGATGTGTTTGGCGAATTTCAAGCATCCGTATTCAACATCGGCAAGGTGCACGGCCTTGTGCATTTGGTCGATGACATTCGACGCTCCAGTGTCCCCGTTCACTACAACGCCAACATGTTTGAGTTTTTTCACCAACCTCTCGTAAAGAGGGCATACCGTGCAAGCAACAAACGTGATGCTATGCCTCAAATCGTGAAGCATAGTGTCATGGCACGAATGCTGCAAGCTCTTGATGACTCGGACCACAACAAGGAGGATTCGCACCATCGAATGGTCGCCCTACAAAAGGTAGATGATGCACGGTATAACATAGTCCTCTAAACTGCTTTCAACCATCTTCTCTATGTTTTATAACAAGTGCACCCCAATCCCGACCGCAGGCCATGGAAACTGGGAGAAACACACTCGTGGCCACGTCGCACAAGGTGAACTGGAGGGACTCTCGAGTTGTTGGCGGCGATCTTTGGCGGGAATACGAAACAGCAGCACCTGGCGACATGTTGCAGCTCCGCGCCTTGTTGTCACAACGACAAGCCGATGGCGTTGAATTAAGCAACGAAATCCATGTCAGAAAGGGCTTGGCTATACCAGGTGATGAGGACTTCACAAAGTATTCTAGTCAAACGCACTATGTGCGGGCAACTCCAATGTTCATGAAGGCACCTTGGTTCAGTGATGTTGCTGTTTTGGGATCTGAGGTAGAAGTGTTACCGGATGGCACGAGGAAGCCCAAGGATATGATCTGGTATGCGCGGTTGCTGCTCTTGTTCGTAGTTGCACAAAAGGATCCAGCAGAAAAATTGGCGGACCAGAAGGAGCGTGCGTTCGTTAGGTTCTACCGCGTTACCGACGAGGTGCATGCATCCCATTGTTCTGTGCTAAGGTGGGAGGAACCGGATAATGAGTATCAGGTGGTGGAGATTGACAGTATTTTTAGGGTGGCTCATGTGGTTCCTATTGCTGGGGATAAGTTTGTGCTCGATAAGTTCAAATTCTATTGAAAAACTCCTGATCTTCACTGTTTTTTGTTTAATCGTATGCAGCCTTTCACAATCGTTGCACCCCTTTCATAATCAGTAGGAAACCCATGCGGACCAAATTAGCCCCATTCTTAGCGAACCATTCTGTGAAGAGCATTTGTTGTTCATTCAAATCTGTTTGTTTTCTCACGCGGACCTGCGAGGATTTGAATGTCGTAACTGCGACACTGTTTTGCTAAACAATGGAAATGTTATGCCGTGCGAGGTGCGAATCATATGTTTACGCTGAAATTTAAACTCTCGATTAACTAGGTCGTGGTGACGAAATCGGTTTCTTGATTGTTTTTTTTATTTTTACACAGCTCACTCGATTGGTAACTGCGGCACTGTTTGGCAGCACTATCACTTTCGTGCTGTCTCTTTGTGCCAGCAAGTTGGCAGTTGGTCTGTGGGCTTGGTACAGTGTACATTATAGTTTCGGCTGGATTTCTGCACCAAGACTTCCGGTGAGCTGTTGCCTTGCTGGCTAGCCGAGGCGATGTGCGAAAAAACAGGCACGAAACTGTAGCAACACTCTGACTCTGTGCTTCGCAAAGTCGACTCGGTTTGCCCTGCTAGCTAGTTGCGCGACAAAAGAGCCCACCATCGATGTGCAGCGTTGACAGCTGGATGTTTCTGACTGTTGACATGTATGTGCATCGATCAAAATGTAGGCAGGGTCAATGTATTTTGTTGCGTGATTGCACGGTGCGGAACTGCAGAACCTTCTAAACATTCTTCTGTTCGACTCAAAAAAGATGTCGAATTAAAAAAACGTGTGATGTATCTGCCCGTCCGATCTGATCGGCAGTTCCCTAAAGTCCAGAAACAACGACGTCTTCTGACAATGTCATTCCGACCTCATTCCGTTTTGCTAAACCGAGTCAGAAAACACACAACTTTCTGTACCGTTGGGGAAACCGCGCCATGCCCTTTTGGTCGCAAATTTGCCAGTAGCCACATTAACAGACACTTTCACGCACCGCTTGTGCTCACAGTATCCCGCCTAAAAAGAATCACAACGGTAGAAGCCAACGGGTAGCCTTAACTTCCCTGCTCTGTACCATATGCCATGTGTGCTCCAGCTATTCCTGGTGTTATGTGCTTTGGACGGGGTAATTATAAAAAAAAAAATAGTACTGCCCCACAGCCATCAATCCCGACCTTTTGTTTCCATCGCTGTCCCCACTCTCTCTCCACCAGCGGATCCTCGTCCCCTCATGGCTGAACTCCCTCGTGAGTTTCTGGAGGGTCGTGCCAAGAGGAAGAAGAACATCCCTGCTAGGTTTCGTAATTACGAAATAGAGTACCCTGGTTCACGAGGGCGAGCAGTAGCACAAGGAGAGTTAAGCAAAGCACAGAAAACTACTCAGGCAGGTACACCAGTCGACCCTGCTCCCTTGGTTGGTAGTCCTGCACCTGCCGCAAGCGGTCCTCCAACGGTTGCAAGTGATTCAGCCGTGGTAACTAATGGTGCTACCGTAGTTGGATTTACTGCAACGAACGTAAGCTCAGAGAACGTGATAGGTTCTCAAAAGGACGGCTCTCACGACAACCTTGCCGCCTCAGGGTCCGACCTCGCCGTCGTCCGCACAGGTACTATCCCTTTTCAACCCACGAAAACTATTGGTTTTCTTCTTGAGTGGTTCACTTTACTAAACCGTTTTGTTGTTTGTTTTCTTTTTCAGGGACCCCAATCTCCTCAGACCGGAACGTGTATCATCGGGAAGCTAACACGTTCAACTCGCTAGAGGCCTCAATTCGCGTTACACTCGCCAACATTGAGGATACGTGTGAAAGTTTAGAAGAAAGAAGAGGATTGAACTAGCAAGAATGGGGATACAAATAGCAAACCCTAGAAGGGTTGTACTCGCTATGGAGCACCCCACTACAGGCTAGAGCATAATATTCTGACACACCCCCATAGCCAAAACGGGGTGTAATCAACAGAGCAAGCAAAGCAGTACAAGCTCAGGGTGGATCACAATGTCACCACACATTCTGAGCACAAGTTCAAGAAGCAATAGTTTAAGATTCACAATCATGAGCAAAGCTAGTGGTAGTCACAACGGGCAAGTGAGGAGGAGGAGAGAGAGTGAGAGGAGAGGAGATAGGAGGTGACGGATGAAGCTGCAGACACACGGGCAACGGGAGGCACACTGGCACAGCGGCTACCGGAACAACGCTCCGGAAAACTGGAGTAACTGGCCCCGCGGCTAAAGTAGCGGCAAACGAGCAACGGACCCACGGGCGGCTGGCACAGCTGGCTACGACTGGGCTACCGGACGAAGTCCCCGGAATACAGGTGCTGCTGGCGACACTACGGCAACCTCCATTCAGCTTCCCCAAACTATCCCACTCCCCCTGGCACATACCCGCTGCTACACCGCTAGGGTCACTCACACCCCACCCCCTAACACAACTCCGTCGACTCCCACACACCCACCCCCTCAGCGGCAGCTGCAGCAGTGGGAGACAGAGGAGGAGGAGGAGCAGGGGAGACCACACACCCGCCACCCCCTACTCGCCACCCCCAAACCCTAACACAGGGCAGGGCGGGATGGCGGATAGGGAGGTTACGGGGGGGAGGGGGGGGGGGACAGATGCGCGGCCTCCCAGGGCGCCACAACAGGCGGCAGAAGGGGCGGCGCCCGCCCCCCTCCCCCAGGTCGCCCCTCCCGTTGCCCGTCGAGGCGACCCTCGGGGGCCGGGGCCGTGCAAGGGCGGCGACGGGGTCGCTGCGGGCGGCGACAGGGCCGCTGCGCGAGGCGACGGCACGGCCGATGCGGGCGGGGACAGGGTCGTTGCGGGCGGCGACGGGGCCGCTGCGCGCGGCGACGGGGTCGCTGCGGACGGCAACGGGCCTGCTGTGGGTGGCAGCGGGGCCGATGCGGGCGGCGACGGGGCCGACGTGCGGATCCCCGTCGCCCGTCGCAGCGCCTCCCGAGGGCGACGCGTGGAGTGGCGGGGCAGAAGCCCGCCGCGCGCCTCGGGGCGCAGAGCGGGCCGAGAACCGCCGCGCGCCTCGGGGCGCACGGCGGGCAAAAAACCGCCGCGCGCCTCGGGGCGCACGGCGGGAAGAAAAAACTGCCGCACGCCACGGGGCATGCGGCACAGAGAGTAGCAGTAGCAGTTGCAGCGGAAGCAACGAGGTGGTGAGCCCACCCACAGGATCGATCCAAGGGGATCGACCTGCTCTGATAGCATGTGAAAGTTTAGAAGAAAGAAGAGGATTGAACTAGCAAGAATGGGGATACAAATAGCAAACCCTAGAAGGGTTGTACTCGCTATGGAGCACCCCACTACAGGCTAGAGCATAATATTCTGACAATACGCTCGACAGCGTCAAGGAGAGGCTTCGGCACACCGAAGAAACACAGCGAGCCCTCCTCAAAATCGTCACCAAACTTTCCAAAAACATCAATCTACCTAGCTGGGGGTCTGATGTTCAAGTCCAGGTGTGTTTAGTTAACCGATTCGTTAACCGTTCCGTTTTCGCATCAATGCTTTCCAACATCAAGCTAACAAACTCTTCCGTAGCTCTTTGCTGCAGGAGAAGTTTGGCGAAGTGTTTGACACGCTGTTGAACGGTGCTAAGCTCGAGAATCGGAGGATCTATCCGTCCCCCGAAGAGTTCAAGGCTGTTTTGTATGATGTGCTAGATGTGCAGGTCGAAGAGGCTGCTAGGTTCTGAGAAGAAACGAGAATGAATGAAATATGAATGAAGTGGGTACAAGTACTGACCCTAATTGGGTTGTACCCCCTATGGGATACCCCACTACAGCCTACACAAAAGTATAAGCTATAATGTTCTGACACACCCCCATAGGCAAAGTGGGGGAGAACAAGGGGTCACAAGACCAGTCAAGCAAAGCAAGCTTAGGGTGGATCGCAAAGTCACCACACATTCCGAGCACAAGTTCAAGGCCACAAGGCCAGTTCACATGCAGGATTACATATATATATATATATATATAAGGCTAGACAAGCAAGAGCAAGAGTATATATATATATATGCAGCAGTACAAGCAAGGTCAAGAGGTGAGCAAGTGAGGCAGAACGGGCACAAGACCCAGCTGCGTGCAGAAGCGCTGATGATCACAAGGCTGTTGGAATAACTGAACAGGAATGAATGAACTAGCAGTGAAATGAGTACAAGTACCTAACCCTAGAATTGTGTACCCCCTATAGGCTAACCCACTGTAGCCTAAACTAACACAACATATATAATGTTTGACACACCCCCATAGGCAAAGTGGGGGAGAACTAGGGGTCACAAGACCAGTCAAGGCAAAGCAAGGC